CCCACCCCATCCCAAAGTGTTGACAAGCTGCAGTGATCAGCTGTATTAGGAGAGACAAACTCCACTTTCACCTACAAACATGTTTTTTTTTTATTGTCTCTTCTTTGTCCATTTATGTTCATATTGTCAAGTTAAAAACATATTTACAAAGATATACAATAAGATATTTTACAGTAATTTCTCTTTGGCACCAAAAACTATGGCTAGAAGATGACATAAACCTTTATGTAGTAAAGATGTGAAGAAATTTATTGGGGTTGTTTACTACTGACTTATAAAGACACTACACACTGTATAGTCTTTTATTAGGTGGACAGTAATATATTTCTATAATGTGGTTATCTCTGACTTAATTGATGGTTTTATGTGCAGAATGGGTTGTGGGGCTCTTGATCAGGGTCTTACAGACTCAGGAAGCTTTTAGTCAGATACATGTCTGATTTAAAAACAACACATAAGAACAGTGATCAAACATTAGTGTGAGGGATGATGTCTGATATCTTGACTCCATATACGTAGGAGTAGCCTGCCCCTTTAACATATGTCATGAGGTGGAGTCAGGATGTGAAAAAAGCTGTTACTTGATGTGTGTTTCCTGGTTTTTACGCACTGCTTAGCTGATGCCTGTCGGAGACAGATTAAAACAAAAGCTAATCAGTCCACACATCTGTGTCTGAATGGTTTTGTGTGGCTCACTCCAGCATTCACATGTCATTATTAAATGGTATTAGATCTTAACAGGTAAAGGGTAACAAACATTGCTTATATTTTAATAGATGCACTGCTCTAGATTATAAGGTTCTAGCTGATTTCCATCTTCAGTGCCTAAATATAAACTAAAATCTTATAATTGTTTTTTTATTATTTTTTTTACATGAAACTGTACAGGAAAATAAATTGTGGTTCTAGGCAAATCATTAAAGTCAAATAATTTTATTAAGTTCAATTGTAGTTCCAAACATTAGAGTTTTTCACTAACTTTTTGTCTCTGTTGAAAAAGGGCCAATATTATGTTTCTCAGGCATATAGTTCAATTCTATACCACACTAAAGTACAGTTGTTATGAGAATGCTTTCAATTTGTATAAATTTGTATAAATCAAAAATAAACTTGACTTAACATCATATCTGTTTCTAAACACCTTGAAATTGGTCTCTGTCTCTTTAAGAACCTCCTCCTGATTATTCCCACCCATTTCAGCACGTCACCACAACAATGCTTTGTGCTGTTTACAAACTGTAGCGTCGTAGCCTATTTTATTGTAGTAATAAAAAAGCAGCAACATTATACAATATCGGTTTTGGAAAATGGTAACTCAGGTTACAATTGAACCATACCATCGAACCGGAGAGTACGTTTTCTAAAGAACAGGAGCTACGGTGAGACGATGTTCCAGCTTGGTAAAATATCTCCCAGTCATTCTCACAGACACACACATCAATGTTAAGCAAATTTATTTATTACTAAAATTTGGTGTAAACAGAACAATGTCAGTAAAGAGGACAGAGTGTTTGTACTCACTTGAGTTTGGGTTCTCTTCCCTCGCTTGTGTACTGCCAACAAATGAGTCCAATCAGGTCATGAACACGGGCATTTGCGATGGTGACCACTGTCATCGGATGTACTTTCTCCTGAGTCATCTGCATTGAGAGGTAGACATCTATCTTTTTCGTAGCCGTTGTGCCAATGTGACCCTAAAAAAACAAAGTAAGAACTTTCAGTGTGGACATCAGTTAAGAGAAAATCAAGGCAAAACTTTTTGATGGTTTTCATTTTAAGGCTCCCATTTAGCAAAATTGATTTAGAAACAGCTCTGTCTGCCACAATCTATTCTGACTGTTTAGGGGAGGTTGTGCGATGTACTTTTACCAACAGAAGACCATCAAAGAAATGAGAAAGAATTCTTAATGGGAAGAAAAAAGCTACACAAAAGAGGCCTTAAATTAAGATTTGGGATTGTTTCTATTTTTTTCCCCTAAATTGACAGAAATTAATTTTTAGGTAGATCCATTTGACCTGAGACAGAAACAAAATAGGTCAGATGATCCATCAGAAAGGCTCACCTTGCCATCAAATTTGGAGTATTCATTAAAGGGGTTGTTGAGCTGCTGTGGACATTGTTCCAGTCGTAGTGATAAAGTTGATTTAGCCCCTGTTGTCCGCGGCCTGTCTTTATAGTCTCGCTTTTCAAACAGAGACCCCAGATCCTCCACTGAATAGAAAAAAAAGAAGTAACAGAACAGGAAAACTGAACAAAACCTTTTCAAACACAACAATGCTTTCATTATATAAAGCTTAATGAAATATACTGGCACCAATTAAATTTATTTCCTTTATGGAAAACTTGATCGCTATTTTGGTCTTTGTTTTAGAACAATAACAGCTCTACTTACTAGCCTATTTAACAAAAAATGAAAGAGAATGTATTAAAATATGTCTTGCTGACAACAATAAAGTTACACTGAATATAAAATATTTGTGTCTCGTCACATCGAAACAAGTATTAAAAGGTATCATATCAAGCTTTTAAATCCTTCTTTTTCACGTCTAAATCACTCACTTATGGACTATTTAAAATAAAACTGCAACGCTTTGGTCTTAATTCCTCATTTTTGTTGCTCCACAGACTCCTTGCTTTCCTTGCTTTTACTCCTGTTCTGAGTTGCACCTCAGAGCAAGCTGTTTTGGTGCGGTCTCTTTAAATACAAATGAGATATTTCACGCCCCGCCCCCTCCAGGTCCCTGAGCGTTCGACTCCACCCCGTTCGGCCATATTTGTAGTTTCGTAGCAAAAACACAGTTATCTACTGACTAAAAACTGTTTTTAAGATAAAATAAGATAAGATAAAACTTTATTGATCCCACAGTCTGGAAATTTGCACATTACTGCAGCTTAATACAAGAGCGGCTGAGAAGAATAATGAAAGATTAATAAAAGATAAACAAAACCCCACAATATACACATGTGATATATAGTAATGTACCAAAGCACATATACAGTACATATACATAACACATATGCTTCTTTATATACATATATACACCGTAAAGTACAGTACAAAAATGAATGTATATGAAGGTGCATATTAGTGATGGCAGATGGCAAGAAAGTATAAGGATGTCAACAACGGTAGACTTGTCAATCCAGCCTTACATGTACGAGCCAGAGTCTGACCCAGTTCAAGACACTCAGAATGACAAACCTGCAGAACCACGTCTTCAAACGATTGTGTCACAATGGCACGTTATTTATTTACACACTCTATGTCCTTACCTATACTGGGGAGCATCCTTACCTATACTGGGGAGCATAGCTAAACTAAAATACATGCATTTGAACTACTATTTAACTACTATTATATTATATAATTTACTTTTGTGATCAATAAAGTATTTTTTAATTGAGCAACTACAATATACTCACTCACTGTACAGATGTGAAATTATTTTAAATAAATTGATTTTTGTGCTTGACTGTTAGTTTGAAATGTACAAAAAGCAAATAAAATGTAATTGTTTTGATTTTTCATTACCAATTAGCCTATTGATTTCCATGTGTCAAATCAGAACTTAAATCATAATTAAATGATCAGTCACATTCTTCTTTGGAACTGTAACTAATATTGTAGGTCACAGGTCTGTGGGAGTGGGACAGCAAAGAACCTGGAACCCAAACGTCTAAGCCAGATAAATTTCAAATGCTACAAGGCAGAGCATCATTTCAACTCTAACTCCAGGGCTTTAATGACRGAAGTACTCCCAAACACACCTCATCATCTTTCACACAAAGACTTCATAGATGGTGTTAGCAAAGCACAAATTCAGCCGGAAATACATTACCATAAATTGTAGTTCTGAAGAAAAAAAATGTGACGAAACAAACAATGAAACGAAATAAGCAACAGCAGATTTTGAACAAACTGAAAAATTTCACCCATAAAAAAATATAAAAATATCTTTGCACTAACTGGGCAGAATAAATTAAAGTTTTCTACACTCCTAGACACTATAATTGCACAAAAAATAGTTTATAAATGCAAAAAAGTGCATTTAGCATGATATGTCTCCTTTAAGTTTGAAGGTAGTATAGTAAGATATAGGCAGCTATAGTGCAATTGTTAAAAAATTGTATATTTGGAATTTATCAAAATGTGATTAATACTTTGTCCATGAGTCTCTTGAAGGAAATCCTTGAAATATAACCCTAAAGAATGTTTTGAAGCATTATTCTGAGCAGAATTGTACTGTGTGTGATTATTCAAAGAACAAATGTCATTCATATTTGCTACTTAGCATTAGTGCTGCATGATGACGATGTATTTCTGTTCTAGACGCACATTACGAACATGTTTAATCAGATGAAATACCACCATAAACCAGAGTACGACAAAAACCAGAAAAATGAAGATTGAGACCTCAACATCAGCTACAACTGACTCTCCAGCGAATGGTCGAAACAAATCTACTCAGCTGAGAATTCACGATGAACTCAGAGAATCTGTCCCTTGGAAGGAGATAACGAGGGGAAGACTGTGGCTGTTGAAATGAAAATGTTAGTTTGAGGGATGTTTTGTAGGTATAATTTTAGAACTCAAAGTAACCGTTTTAAAGTCCAAAACATGCAAGTGCAATCTATTAATCATCATGTTAATAGTTATCAACTAAAGGAAATAATCACGATTTTTAATTTTTTGCCAATATTTACATTTACTATTTTCAGTGCCAGCTGGGAAATCCCCATATCCAAATACAACAAGCGTAACACTGACATTATTTATTATTTTCACCAGTTAATTAAAAAAAATATTGGTGAATTATAAAGACCTCAATATGAATCAAACAGTCATGTTTCTAAATTACTGAGTGGCACAAGATGTTAGTGCATTTTTAAAATTTGGTATTTAATCTCTATTTCAACAGGCAGTAACAGAAAAACCAGCTTAAACAATTCTTTCAACTGTTTAGGTGAGACCTAGCAGTGTTTTCAAGCATTCTGACCCTAGAAACTGAGAGCTGGTATCAAGGCGCTTCTGATTAATGAGGAGGTGCCTTGCGACATGACACACTTTTTTCATGATTTAGTTTTTTGTTTGGTTTTTAAATCAAAAGTGGAAACAAATGTAGAAAAACAATGATGCAATATTAAAGATTTCACTAATACATAAACTTGCCCATACCAGACTGGGAGGATGCCCGTTCCTTCCACTGAACGTTTTTACATTTTATTTGGTTTTGTCGTTCTTTCCTGAGTCTTTCCAGTCTTTGGGCTGAAAAGGAGAAAAAAGACATTTTATATTCAGTCACAGTAAACAAGTTATTCACAAAAAAACCTAATGAAACATAAACTCCATTTGGTGCATACATGTATTAATTGAATATAAATATAAATTCACATAAGGTCAATTTCAAAATGAATTACACAAAAAAGGAAAACATTCTTTGTGGCTCAAATATTATAAGTAAAATGTTTGTTATGGTACAATTTCATGTCTTGATGCATCTCAGTAGTCCAGGTAAAAATCAAAAAGAAAAAAAATTGTATAGGTCTTCTGGACGGTTCTTCTCTAATGAAACGTTTCGTCTCTCCTCCAAGAGACTTCTTCAGTCCGAGAGTTTCAGGCAAAATTCAAGGCGGGTGTTTCGGAGAAACTGAGACGTTTATTTTCTAAACATGATGTCCCAGTGGCTTTCAAACCCCAAAACACATTACGGCAAAGGCTGGTTCACCCCAAAGATCTGGTGCCCCGGCACAAACAGAGCAATGTTGTATATGCTGTTAAGTGCCAGGAGGACTGCGACCAGTTATACATCGGGGAAACAAAGCAACCACTGTTCAAAAGAATGTCCCAACACAGACGAGCTACATCTAATGGCCAGAACTCTGCAGTTTTCACTCATTTACAGGCCAGCGGTCACTCTTTCAGAGATGAGGATGTTCTCATTCTTGATAGAGAGGAACGTTGGTTTGAGAGAGGAGTAAAAGAAGCCATTTTTGTGAAGAAAGACCGTCCATCATTAAACAGAGGTGGAGGCCTCCATTTTCAGTTGTCCCCCTCCTACAGTGCAGCTATTGCCAGTATCACTCCACCCCTGTTAACAATAGGTGTTAATTAGGTGTCAACGATAGCCATGTGATGTGAGTATCAATCACATGGAGGCAGTGCTTAAAAGCCTGAATTTTGCCTGAAACTCTCAGACTGAAGAAGTCTCTTGGAGGAGAGACGAAACGTTTCATTAGAGAAGAACACGTCCAGAAGACCTATACAATTTTTTTTTCTTTTTGGTACAATTTCATATTTTACCATTATATGTAGAAAGTAAATACGAAAAATAAAAATGTATAATAAAAATAAACAAAAATTTATGAGCTCTGTGGAATCCTCTTCAGTTGAGGCTCAATGAAACTGAGTCCTGACATTTGGTATAAAATACACATTGCACACAATCATCCATTTAATCGTGATACACAGCAGTGGCAGCATCATACATACATTTAAAACACCAAGAATGAACAACATACAGGAAAACGTTGACACTTTATTTTGAAGTTATTTGTTTAACCCACACATCTTACCAGCAGCATTGTATGAAGTACCTCAAAATAATACTTGAGTAAATGTACAAGTACATAATAATAAAAATATTTTGGTAAAAGTTAAAGTCTTGTCTAAGAACATTACTTGAGTAAAAGTCTTAAAGTATCTGATATTTTTTGTACTTAAGTATCAAAAGTAAATTTCTGAAACAAAATGTACTTAAGTAATAAAAGTAAAAGTACTGATTAAAAGTGATCAGTTAGATTTTCCTAAATGACATTTATTGGGAGGTGACCTCCCCAAAAAGATTTTTTTCTAACAGCGTGCAACTGTGATGGGTTGTGTACAAGCTATTATGGTGTCAGAATGTTTTATATTTGTACTTATCTAACCACAATTAAATTCACTCCATCCAGGAAAGACAATTTATCAGAATTGTATTTTTTTACAATAACTCGGAATAAATTAGGAGTAATGACTTTCTACTTCTTACTTTTTAAAAAAATGTAAGGAGTAGAAAGTACAGATAAATGTGTAAAAATGTAATGAGTAAAAGTAAAAAGTATGCTGAAAAATAATTACTCATGTAAAGTACAGATAATCAAAATTTCTACTTAAGTACAGTAACAAAGTATTTGTACTTAAGTTACTTTGCAACTCTGCTTACCAGCAGCCCCGGGTTTCTCACGGCTGACAAGTCGGAGTCCTGATGACACAGCCACCACAGGTCAGAATCCAAATTCAAGTCTGAAATTCTCAGAGGATTGCAGTTTTCTACCCAAACCCCAGAACCTCCAGCATCACTCCACCAAATGCTTAGTAAATATCCAGAGAGCCAAAAGGAAACACACTGTCTACCTTTGGACTCCCTTAACAAAACCATGATCACAACAAATAACTTCAAATAGTTTAAACAGATTCACAATCTACTCATTTGACTTTAACTCAGTCGATGTTGATTTCCTTAAACCACGGATCAAATCAGAGATGCACCGATCTGTCAGTAGATGGAAACCAATGGTCTGAGAATATTAGTCAAATTTACCTGCATGAGTCCCTTCATGCACAGAAAATGCAAACAGCAACATCAGAAATGAACACACAACAAAAACTAATTCTGTCATTGCTTTAAAAGTCTGATTAAAAAAGAAAGGTCAAAATTTGTAACACCTGCAAGGTTAAAACAAGCCATGAAAAACATTTCTTTTAACAAATCCTTCAGATTAAAGCCCAATTTGAACAATCGGTGCATCTCTACATCAAACACCCACATCCCAACTTAAACAGAATTCACTCCTTTGATGATAAACAATGATTTGATGTTGATTTAAAAAAACACACAATTTAAGAACATCACTGGAAGATATGGTATTTTGACAGATTTAAAAAGAAAAGTGTAACAATGCTCCACATAACAAGATCGTTTCTTTTTAAGGAAACTGGATTTGCTGTAAATCACACAAGATGTTAGAATTGTGAACTGAAGGTCGTCTTTGATTACGTAGATGAAGACAGCACAAACACGTATACCCCAGTATTACCATAACCTTATTTTTTATGGTAAAAGGTTTAGCACAAAATGTAAGAAAACCTTTGTTTTTATTTTTATTTTTGGAACAGTACCTCTTGGCAATAAATCTTATTGGAAATTGTTCATTTCCTCGTCCACATTTGTCAGGAAAATGATTTTGTAGGTTGAGCTGCAGAGTTGAATATGTGTGTTGTCCCCATGAAAAACATTGCCAGGTCTGAAAAGTCTCTAAAACAACTCTGGGAGGTGGTTGTGGTGAAAACAACAGTAGATTTGGAGTTTCTGGCACCAACTACCATGCTGCATTCAAAGCCACTTAAACCAAATTGTGTCCTCATTCTGATGCTTAATTTAAACATCAGCAAGTGGTCTTCACGATGTTTAGATGCCTAAAGGCATTGAGTTGATGCCAAAGTGATAACTTTAAATGTGATCCATGTCCCACGTAGAGAAATCAATAAAATTCACAGTTGTCAATGATCTCATCCCAAGATTTTTACCACTGCCGCAACAATCATCAACACACAATTTTATTTAAGTCTTTAAAAAACAAACAAAAACAAAACATTGGTCCAGACTGAACACACAACCCACTCCAAATACAGAGGAACAGGCTGGGCTGCCTGACAGAAAGCCTACCCTAGAAAACACCCAGAGGCTGGAAATGAGCTCACCTGTGTTGGAGCGCCGACGGATGCCAAAGTCCCAGCTGGAGGTAATGTCCATGGACTGAGAGAGGTCATAGGTGTGATTGTCCACCACGCTACCACTGTCTTCTTTAACACAGCTTGACCCAGATGACCCGCCGCTGCTGCAGCTGCCAGGCACCAGAGTAAGCTGGCACTTCTCCAGGTCCACATCCTGGTCTATTAATACCATCTCACACATTCCTGTATCATCACTGGTCACATGAGACTGTCTGATGTGAGCCAGAATAATGGCTGGATTGTCTAGGAAAGCCATTTCCTCTGCTTTACAAAGTGCAGTTTCAGAGGGTTTTGCGTAGTTTATTTTATTTTTTTACTTTGTAGCCTGTATATAAAAAGATCCCCTTCTTTTAGCTTCAGTTGAACTGTGTTAACGCAGTGACTGATGACAGGGAGGGAGACATCTTCTTTTCTCTCTCGACTATTTCCTCAGCTCCGTGGTAGAAATGCCAATACCTGTTCAAAGCAACAAAACTGTTAATACATATATTATTAGTTTGCATAAGAATCTTTACTCTGTCCAAAAACGACCAATTCTGAAAATAAAAGAAAGTTTCAAAGTTCCAAGATTATAAACCCTCATGAGAGAGAGTCAAGGTCTAGATGTGATTTTAATGATTCCCAGAAAAAAATGCAAAGAAAGAATAAAAAGAAGCATACGTCCTATTCTAAAGTTATTTCTTTAATGGAACAATACTGCGACCAGTTGATAAAACGTATGTAAAACCAAAAGGTTTTGTGTAAAATACATTATGAAATCTGTAATTGTCTGCCCTAAATTTAATTGCCTACACTCCACAATGAACTGGCAACCTTTCCAGGGTGTACTGCATCTCTCCTCTGTTGACTGCAGCACCCCACTACCCTGATTTAGAGAGCCTCCATAGAAATATAAGTTTTATCAATTTCAGTATTATCTGTCTACTAGGGTTGGGCGTAATCGTATCGTGTGCAATTAATCGTCAGAAAAACATTAATCGATGAATTTTTGGCAGTTGACAATTAATACGATTAATGCCACCAGGCAGACTAACCGCTTGGTGTTCCTCTCTGATTCAAATATGACCAACATTAAAGAAATTTGTGTAATTTATTTATCCATCAACACAATTTAAAGTTTGTATAGCCTGAAGTCTGTAATTTTGACACAATTTGGAACAGATTTCTACGAAGAGCCAATTTTCTCCCTATAAATTGGTCATGTGACTAGGATTTAAGGATGTCCAGGGACTCTGGGGGAGTAATCATCAAATTAATCGTTATCGGCTAAATACCACAATTAATCGTAGTGCTGGGCGGTATACCGTTTTGTACCGAATACCGGTTTTTATTTTTGTTATGATATGAATTTTCTGAATACCGGACATGACGGTTTAAATAGCCTGAACATGTGCGAAACGTTTCATCGCGGCCGCCAATGAGCTGTTTCCCGGGGGACAGTTTTCCTTGCAGCACCACTATGTGCGTTAGCATGCTAACGTTATTGTTGAACAGCTTCAGAGGCAGGTGGCGATTCCGCTGCTTATACTGACTGACTTTAAAAAAACATCCCGTTTTCACCGTTGCTGAATGTAGTAAACACCTCTTCAGTGACATGCACGGTTAGATTTAAGGCGCGATGTTAATATGGAGACGTTATGTTAATGGAGACTTAACGTGGTTCTATTGTGAAAAGCCCGGGGAAAGTAGTTTGTAATGGAATTGGAAATGACTGGTGAGCAAGGTGAGTCGTGCTGATAATCTTTATTAAATAACATAAAACAGTAGACTCGATAATAATCGTTTCTTAACCCTCCTCCTTCACGACCTGACCAAAATGCGTGACTACTGTCTCCAACCAGGAGGAGAAAAGACGTTTAGAGGAGGGAAACAGAGACACAGACAGAGGTAGAGTAAAAGAAAAAAGTTAATATGCAGGGTTTGTACATTTTATTATCAGCTGACCTGTGATGAAAAGAAAAATACCGTGATATACCATCAAACCGGTGTAAATGTTGAAAATACCGTGATATAAATTTTTGGCCATACCGCCCAGCTCTAATTAATCGTGATTAATTTTTTTGCCTTTATTGCCCAACCCTACACCTTTGTCTCAATAAATTGTATGTCACATCACAGTGGAAACCTGTATTATATTCTATTACTAGTAAATGTACATCACAATTTATAGGCTTTGATTGAGCTTCATCAGTGCTAGACTGTGCAGTGTGAAGGAACTGTGCTGATGTAAAAAAAAGAGACTTTGAACTAATCTTAAACTGTTTTCCTTATCAAATACATATATGATTAAAGAATCTTTATTTTTCTTGTGGGTTCCATTTGGTAGGCTGTAAAAACTAAATCAAAGCTGGTAAAGATTTGCATTATAAATTTCTCCAAAGCACTATGAATAAAATTACCAAGTTTTCATGACTTTTTGAATTGCTCTGTTTAATGAATCGGTCATTCAAAATATTATAGATCAGTGGTTCCCAAACTTTTTGTCTTATGACCCACAATATATCCATGGCAAAAAACTTGTGACCCCAAATATTACTGGTCTGAGTACATGAACTTCGTTAATAATCCTAAAAACACAGGCTTTTTGACAATCTAAACAGCGTGTACACAAATATAAATACTTTTTTTTTTTTACTTATTTTGTGTTTTTATAATAATCATAGGGAAAATATTACATCAGCAATTATTTTATTACCCTTTAAATTGATTTCTGGAGATTATCCAAGGTGCTTCATGACCCATAATTGGGTCCCAAGCCCAACTTTGGGAACCAAAGTGCAATGGTTCCCAAACTTTTCAGCTTTTGACCCACAAAATAGTACAAAACAGTAGCAGAGACCTGTGCACCCAGCTGTTTTTAGATGATAAACATTTGTATCAGATCAACAAAACATGGGCATAGTAACAATAT